AATGGTGATCACCAGGGGCAGGGGGGCGGGAGAAATGGGAGTTGTTGTCTAATGGGTACAGACTTTGAGTTTTGTAAGTTGAAAAAGTTCTGGAGATTGGTCACACAATATGAATATACTTAACACTACTGAAGTCTACACTTAAAAATGGCAATGATGGTAAAGTTTGTATTTGTCTATTTTACCACAATCAAAAAATATAATAATAAAGAAGGGATTTAAGGAGGGCTACAAGATCGGGAGTTAGACTAACGAAGAACAGAGACTGTACTGTCCCTCCATCCCGAGCCAGGAGAGCCAGGACGTGAGTAAGAAAGGCAGACCAAGCCTGGCTTCCAGGCTCTCTTAAGAGAGAAGAATCTCAGCCTCCAGAGATGCACTTCCCTCTGCAGGCTGTACACCCTCCATCGGAAGGACTTGTCAGAGGCCCAGCCAGTCATGGCCTAAAAGTGCTACCGACAATCAGCTTTAGGTGATCCATTCTGAGTCAAGCTGACGGAAAGCACCTCTCTTTACCTCTGGAGATAGAATGCATTTTGGAAAGTGAAACATTGATTTGAGTAAAGCCTTAAGCAGTGCTGTGAAATGTATCAAGTCAGGTCTTAGTTGGAAGAATAGTTTTTAGAATTAAATAAGCATATGGATCAAAAACAAATATGAGTGTCAACTGACACAGATGTTGCTAAGGTCCCTGATTGAGGTCAGAGAGTATGTCCCAGGATTAAGAAATTCTGAAAATTCCAGCTTAAATTTTAATTTTAACTCAAAGTTTAGTTGTTAAACACTGAATAAAACAGAATCCGAGAAAAAAATTTGGAAAAGATGGCTGATCTTGTTAGATGGTAATATGTTTATTACTCAAAATTCACTGCTGCCATTTAACCAAATTCTTGCAGAGTCAGGAGTTAAACAGTTATAGGGTGGTGATAGGAGGGCTGATGTGAAAACAATTAGCTTTTGAGTTAAATCAAATTTCAACATTAAAAGAGTGTTGTCTCACCTCAGAGAATATTTAAAATTTTAAAGTTAAAAAAATGAAAGTGCAAACAGTGCTTGGATTAATTACTTAACCTATTTCTGTACTTTATGCATCTGGGGTACATAAATATTTGCTGGGTTAAAAATATAGCCAACTGAAAAAAATATATATAGCCAACTGGGGGAATGGAAAAATAGAGCAATCACCATTGTGATTTATGAATTTATTGATTTTTATGTCATAAAATTTGAAAGAAAGGGGAAAATATACAGGAGTTCAACAATTGTTGGCGAGGATGTGGAGAAAGGGGAACCCTCCTACACTACTTTTCCTTTAAGATTAGTACTTACAATTTAACTAATTTTTAGTGCTTCCATAGTGGAGATAATGTAAGTTGGGAAAAATGAATCACATCTCCATGCTGAAGAGCAAATAAAGTAGACTTATTTGGTTACCATTCTCTGAGGGATTTGGAGATCCATAGCTCTGACCTCAAATGATTTGAGGTTAACATTTTGAAATATATGAACCTTGAATTTTCATCCAGGTAAACATTTTAATGTTCATATTCAACTAAATCCAAATACCAAGGGAAAGGTTTTGGCAACTATGTATGTTTAATGTGTAAATGGGTGAATTTAGTATAATTAGGAGACAGTTTAATTTTGGAAAATTACTTATGTTTTCCTTTAAGAGTATACTGCTTATCCTGACATGGGATGTAAAATATAGGCATGGAGTATGGAGTCATGAATAGCATGGAACTTAGCTGCAGGATCTATGGGAACTGGCTGGCACACATTAAAAGGCTGCCATGACATAGTCCATGAAGACTTGGGTGCACATTTGGCACCCAAGTGCCCCCAAGGCTGCAGGGGATGGCCATGGGAGAAGAGGATCCCAGCACATCTAACAGGCAGATCCTGTAGTGTTGGCTGCAACTATTATTCCATTGTAGTATCGAATGTGTAAGTGCTACAAATAACTTCTGAAAGTAATATAACATACAGCATGTTAAAAATATAGGTCATACCAACCACAAATCTCATGTCTATTGATTAAAAATAAGAGGAGTACTACTATGTTGCATTGGCGTCAGAATTCAAGGCACACAAGGTAAGTAACTATTTTTGTTAAAAAGCTCGCATGTGTACAATAGATGACTCCTGTATGGCAGATGGGAAGAGACAGAAGTCTTTGGGCCAAAGAAGCAAACTGACAGGTTCGGTTAGGCTCTCACACTGCTGATCCACTTAAAAGAATTAGTTACTGACATTTAATATAATCAACATGTAAAATTTTAACTAAGTCATGACAGTCTCGCCCACTTAAGGTTACCTAGCTGGCTCCTGTAGCATTTGAGTTGGTGATTCCTGTGCAGAGTTTTGGAAGGCGTATTTGCCTTGATACCCCTTAGATTGCATCTGCTTTGATACCAGTATTCTTATCAGATATAGAAACCTCTGTTAACTGTAAACTAAAGGATTTAATTTCAAGAATAATAAAAACAATTCAGGCTCACAGGCTTAAATATATCAGGAGAGGTGTGACCATTCACTGCAGGTTTACAGAATGTTTGGCTGGGACCACAGAGATAAGACTTGAATGGGGCAAGCAAGCTGTTCCACATTAGTATCAGATGTTACATTTTGAAAGCAAAATTCAATACCATTACAAAAGTTGAGTTTCTAAAGCATTAGTTTGTGTTAAATTCAGCAGAGATGAACTCACTTAAGAAGAGATATATATGATAGTATTGAGGAAAAGGAACACATTTTGATTAGTAACAAGATTATCTAACAGATCTGTTGGTAGTAAAATACTTATAAGTTGTAAAGATCCAACTGCTCTGAAAGATTTGGTACATATGCCTCCTCTCTCGAGTAAGTAGGAGGGAGCATTTGGTGACTCTGAAGGGGAGCAGAGAGGAATTGAGAGGTCCGGTCATCCAAACCTGCAAGAACGATTATCCATGGATGCATTTGGACTATGTGCTCCTTGAAAGCCCCCAGTGATCAAGAAGCAGCTCTGTAACACATAACTACTAAAACGGGGGGTTCTGTTGCCAATTTTATTCTGCAGACCTTTTCAGTTAGGTTTGCTTTTCCTGCTCTCTTGAGCTGCTCTGAATCTGAACAGGTGCGTAGGTGGGCTGCCATAGATACAGAATTTGTCAATAATCTGACACCTGGAAAACTTGTACAAAAATGATAAAACTCAGGCTGATGCCATTGCCTGGGGCCCAGATGGCCGGGACCAGGCCAAGCAGAAGCGTTACTGGCTCCTTTGTGCAGCTGCCCTCACCCTGACAAGATGTGTTAGACCCCAAACAGCAGGAGTGCCCCTAGCTTGTGAACTTAGTTCCTGAACCAGACTTCAAGCTGCATCAGATTCTGAGCTCTGTACATGCCATTCCCTCTGCCTGAAACACTTGTCCTCTCTTTCCTCCTTCCTCTGTTTGACTGCTTCTTGTTCGTCCTTCAATGTCAGCTTAAATATTACTACTTCTGGCAGTCCACCATGACCTCCCAGACTAAGCTAGGTGCCCTCCAGGACTTGAAAAGCACTGATCACACTGACTTATAAGCCCTGGTTTACTTTCCTGTATCGCCTCATAGCTCCAGGGCTCAATGAGGCCAGGTTATACATCTGTGTTGTTCATATGTGTATTCCTAATGTGCAGTAAGGTGCTCAGAAGATACTGGCTGTATGGTTGAATAAACTACAGCCCAACCTGACTGCTTTTTAGCTTCCTCAAGCACTCTCAGCTGGCCTCTCAGCCATGGGATTGTCTAGTGTTTGTAGGCAGGGCTTAGAAGATGGCCAGCAATGGCCTTGATGCCTAACAGTTTCCTAAAAGGCAGAAATTTTTGGGACAAGTGAACTAGAGGTTTGGAATGGAGGCTATAAGTTCTCAAAAACCTGTCTGGAAAGAATGAGATGGGAAGGGAGAATGTGTGTATGGAGGGGAGGGAGGAAGCTTGGAAATATCTCTTCAAGGCAAAGATAACATTTGACCTGAAATGAAGAATCAGACCAGAGGTCAGAGAATCTAAAAGGATGAAGGAAGGGTTTCTTGGAGGAAGAACTCCACAATGGAACCATGAAGCGCCCAGAGCCCCTGGTGGCTGTGGACACTGAGCATGACATTTGAGAGGGCATGCACAACTAATAAATGTCTGTCAGTTGGGTTCCATTCTCTCCCTAATGTTGGGAAGCTTCTTTCACCTAATAAAGCCATGGCTGATCTTGGGTAAAGTAGGGGGAGATTCTTACCTAAGGGAGAGAGTCAACAGACATCAGGGAGGGCTATAGGTGGATATCCTGGAATGATGTGAGACTCCAGGGTGAGAAACACAGCAAGAACTGACCCCAGAAGCTAGCATTGCTTTTCCAGGGTGGAAGCTGGCCAGAACACAGCTGGCTGCCAAAAAGCATAGGCTCTCTACCCTTTCTTTTCTTAAGCAGTATTGGTCTTAATGGAAACAGAGTAGCTAAAAAACCTCTAAAGACTTTACATGGTTCTCAGTAGAGAGTCAAATTCCTTAATGTGGCCTGCAAAGTCTGTCTTACCAGCCTCCTGTTTTACCAGGAGTAACCAGGCAATTGCAGCGAAGGAATGAATGGCCCCAATCTAGAGTGGACTGGGTTCTCTGTAATCAGAAGAATCAGAGAAGGTGGAAAACTCATCCTGGTTCTTCAAACAAAACTGCAAGTTCCACCTGGAAAAACAGGAACCAATTCTTTCCAGGGCCAAGGTGGCAAGAACTCCCTTCCTCTATCCCCAGCATCTTCTTTGGTCCTTCCTGCCTCTTCTGGGTCTGGGGATCCTGGAACCCCATCCCTCCTCAGTCTGAGCTGGGAAGGCTGAGCTGTTTCTGGTGTTAATCAACTCTGGGCCCTACTTGTCTCCCTAATCCAGGGCTCTAGTAATAAAGCACGGGCAGGACTGACTCCAGGAGTGGCACCACCATCCCCTACATGTGTGGTAATTCCAAGGTTTATCAGACAGGATAGTTACCTCCTCGACCCTCACTGGCGGCTGGCTTCACTTGGATCGGACGATTCATCTGAAAGACATCAGACCAACACACCCCGTTGGCATGACTGCCTGGTCCTGGGGCTCCAGTTCTCCTCCCCTGTACTCCGCAGGACCTAAGGAAGCCCCGGGCCCTTTGAACTCTGCTCTCCATCACTCTCACAGTAGGACTATAGAATTTCTCCAATATTCCTCAAAGCCAAGAATTTAAAAGCTGTTGAAACCTGAAGGGTTGGGTGAAAGGAAGTTCAGTGGCAAATACAGGATGGACTGTGGCAGCTCAAGAGATTCTCCCGCCTTGGCCTCTGGGCAGGGACCATGTGAGGCCTCTCCTGCCGTCGCCTGGACCTCCTTAAAGGCTTTGGAGAGAGGTGTTTAATGGGAGGGTAAAACTGATACTGCAGATTTGTGTTTTGTGTCTAAAATTGAGAATATAATTCTATATATGCCATTTAAGTTAAACAATCTAGGATTCAGATTTAGTGCTGTCTACCCTAACTCTGCCATCTAAATGGTTGTAGGACATCGAGTAAATCACCCTCTTTCAGATTCAACTTCTCAAATAGGGAACGCCTTCCCCAAGCGTCTGTATCACCCCTCAGTCCCCTCCCTGGGCCCCCCGTCCTGGGCCCTGCTCATCCCACTCTTCCCATTCTTCCTGGACAGTCTCACCCGCACCCACAGCCTCAGCTACTGTCTCCACAGGGTGACTCAGAGATCTGCGTTTCCAGCCCACACCTCCCTCCGGAGCTCCAGACCCATGTGTCCTGGGCATCCCAACTAAGAAGTCCCCCTGGCGCCTTCCACTCGACACCCCCAAACTGGAGCTCATCTTTTTGCCCAGACCTGAACCTTCCAGTCATCCAAGCTGGATGGAAAGCACCTGCACTCCTCCCCTCCAGCCCTCTGCCACCAACTGATTCCACTTTCTAATCCAGGGGTTCCCTGATAGGGGGCAGATAAGAATCACCTAGGAGCCATATCAAATTCTCAAGTTGGGGGACTGTATCGCTTGTAAAAATGCCGAGATTTCAATATACACCCCATACATTCCCAACCCCCAACCACCCTGAGAGAATTCATGATTGAATCCCCATCTCACCTTCCTCTCATGGGTGTTGTGGGGATCACATGAGATAATGGGGACGCAAAAGGTCTTTGTAAACTGCCAAGAGCTGGGTGCGTAGGACGTGAGGAATTATTGTTGGGGGGAGACAGCTGAGTGCCGGGAGGAAAGAACAGCGGCCTTCCTGTTCATGGAAGAAGGGGCACTGATGCCCAGCTGGCCTGAGGAGATGATCTGACCCCCTCCCCTCAGGAAATGCACTGCTTCTGCACCAATCAGGGGCCACCCCATCACCTACCAATGTGCTAGTTGCCGAGACAACAGGCAGCTTCCTGTTACCATAGCCACAAGTGCTACCCGGTAACCATGGTAACACCCTGGCAGTCACAGTTGAGCAATTTCCTTTGGATCAAATTTGGGGGTGGGGGAGTAGGGAGGGTTTATTAAAAATTTTTTTTCAAGGACAGGAAAACAGGCCAAGCCTGAACCAGCACAAGCCCCTCCCTCCCAGGCCTCGGGTTCTTCTACACCCTGACACACCCACCCGCTGGCGGTGGAGCCCCTGCCGTGTACCAGGCTGTGGGTGGGGGCCGAGACACCGACAGGACTCAGGCTGCAGTCTAGAGGGGATGACAGATCGATCCAAGCAGATCAGGGCGAGCTGGACAGGTCTGGACTGGCCTGGGCCAGGGACCAGGAGGACAGGACCCGTCCCTGGGCATGGCCACCTGTGATTGTGGAGGAGAGACCAAGAGACAGAGCCATGGAGAGCAGGGACACAGGGAGAGATGAAGAGACACAGGCAGACAGAAATGATGAGAGAGAGTAAAACAGACCTAGAAAGGGGCAAGTAAAGAGAAAAAAATACTGGTGGAGAAGGGACAGGAGCGAGGGGATAGGGGGACAGAGGAGGACACAGAAAGGTAGGGAGAAGTGTGGTGGAAGAGAAGAAAAGCGGGGTAGAAGCCTGGGGTGGGGGGCGGTGAGGGTGAGCAAGACCATCATTATTTTATTAGTTCTTGAATAGATCCCAAGAATTTCTCTCCGGAGCCTAGAGTGAAGGGCACGTGTGACAGCAGTGGTTTCCATGGCAGCTGCCTCCCCAGCTGGGTTTCTGGGAACACAGCTCGTCAGTGCTCTAGGGATGCCCCTTCCCCACCCCCCGTATTTCCCCCACTCCCCCACTCTGCTGGAGAGTGGGCATTAGGTGGTACATACATGCCCCACATGGATCTGGCAGGTCCGGGCCTCAGAGACTAGGCGCCCAGGCTTTCCAACATTCAGGCATGCTGCTAGCATTTTCTGAACTGAATGCCTGGGGCTAGGCCCTTCAGGGGGGACAGTGATGACCCCTGGGACCCTGTTCTCAAAGGCTCACAGAGGGGAAGATAATACCACTATTTCCTGAGTATCCACTATGCGCCAGGCCCTTCCTTGGGGTACTTTACACATATTGTGTCTAAATTCCTTCCAAGCATTCTGCAAGGTAATATCATTGTCCCCATAGTATGGGTGAGAAAGCTGAAGCTGAGGGAGGTTAAATCACTTGTCCAAGATCACATGGTGGGTAAGTGGTTGAGCTGGGATTTGCCCCCAGGTCTGACACTAAAGTCCCAGATTTTTGTATTTTGCTGCACACCTCTGTTTGTAAGACATGAACGCAAATTATGAGGCACAGAGGGACCAGGGCCCTAGGAGGAGCGCTGTGGAAGAGGCTGACTCCAGCCGGAGAAAGCTTCATGGAGGAGACAGAGTTTGACCTGGGCCTTGCAGGACTGGGTCGTTGGCCATGTGGAGATAATGGCAGAGACAGGGCCGGAGGCTGAGCCCTCCAGATGGCTGGGGCGCGGAGGAGAAGCTGCAAGTCTGAAGGAGCAAGGGTTCTGGTGATACCTGGCTCAGAGGTAGCCAGAGGAGAGCAAAGCTGCTTCTGAGTCCGATGTGGATTTACATCACAGCTTCATCACTGGCAACTTCTTTAAGGTCTCCGAGCCTCAGTATCCATCTTAGCAAAAGGCGGAATCATAATCCTACCTTGCAGTGTTGTGGTGAAATGACAAAAGCTAGATCTTGGTAGGTAGACCAGATGTAATAAAAAAAATTTTTTTTTTTTTTTTTAATGGCAGGATGTGAAACTGAAAGGTAGGCAGGGGTCAGACTGGAACAGGTTGTGAAAATTGTGACAAAGAATTTTTATTTTGTTGTATTTCAAAGGCAATAGGGATCCAGAGAAGGATATTAAATAGGGGACTAGTCTAATCCTGTCTGGCATTTGAAGGATTCCATGAGCTGTCACTACGCAGAGAAAAGACTGGAAAGGGAAAGATTAGAGGCAGGAAAATCAGTGATACAGGTAAGAGGTGAGGTTGACCTAGACCAGGGCAGAGGGAAATGGACAGATTCAAGAGATGCTTAGGAAGAATTAACCAGACGTAAAGTGCTATTGGATGTGGGGACTGAGGGGGAGGAGGGACTCTTGGGTTTATGGCTTAGGTGTTGGGGAGGTTGGGAGTTCGGAGGTAACAGGGCAGGCCCCGGGTGGGGAGCCCAAGAGGATGGGGACAGAGCAGTCCCCTCAGGGCCCCGGGCCTCCAGTCCCCACCCGGAAGGAGTCACGGAAGGTGTCTGGGGTTCAGGTGTGCTCTGTGCGGCTGGAGATGGACAGCTGCCCACATGAACTAGCTGGGCAGCCCCACCCTGCCTCATTCCTGCCAGAGCCAGAGGAGGGACGTGGGAGTTGGGTGAGGTAATCACAGTTCTCCTTTGAGGAAAAGAGGTCCATTGCCTCCCTGGCTGAGACCTTTCATGGGATCTCAGGTGAGCTCTTGCCCTTGGCTGAGCACCTATTCCCTTGAGTTTCCCAGGTAGAGTCCGGGCCCATGTCTGCTTCAGGGCCCATCCCTGAAGGGGAAATCAAGGGAGAATGTCAGAAAGAGGAGAGAACAACTTACTTCAGGCGGTGGAGTGGGGAAGGTCAGAGGCAGCACAGACATGCGTGAGGCCCTGGTCCTTCTGCCCCTGTGAGCAGAAGGGAAGGCAGGGCCTAAAGAAGACTTGCCTAAAATTCCCGCCTTTGGGCTCAGCACTGCTTCCTTCAGACTCTTCTGTCTGGATGCTGGCTACTCCACTCGGCACACGTGCCCTCGGCCCCTCCCCCACCACAGGAAAAGTAGTCATCAGAACCTCCCAAAGAAGGGACCAAAGCAGGGTCTGAGAGCGGTATCATGGGTGCAGGGAGGAGTGGAGCAGAGAAAAAGCAAACTTTTCAGCCCTCTTCTACTTCACCCCCTCCTCTAATTCAATCTACCACTGAGTCCCATTGTTCCCAGAACCTACATGGATATCCTGAATAGGCCTCCAGGCTGTCCTCTCCTCCCATCCTGCCCTAGCCCAGCTCTGGGCCGGCCTCATCACTCACCTGCACTCAAGCAACAGTGTCCTAAAGGGTCATCTGCTCAGTTGTAGCCAGAGAGATCTCTTAGAACCAGTCCCTCACTCTTCCCCACTTAAAATCCACTATGGTTTCCCATTACAAGCCTTCCAATAAAGCCCCAAATCCTATGTCTGGCAGTCAAAACTTGTGAGTCCTGCCAACCCCTACTGCTCAACATGCACAATACTCTGCAGTCACACAAAGCCTTAGCCATCTTTGCTGGACACAGTCTCTGCCACTTCTCATACTGTCCCCAGAATTCCAGAATTTGTCTTTGTCCTTTAGGTTACTAGACCCTCAAACATGATGAAATATGATCATGATTCAGCTCACATAGTATCTCCTCTGTTAAGCATCTACTTATCCGCTGCTTCTGACGCCTCTTTTATGTGCCCAGATGTAAACCCCACTGAGAGGCAATGAGTTATTTCTGGGCTGGAAGCTCCTTGAAGGCAAAGGCTAACTCACTCACTGGGTGGCTGCTAGCACATACGGTGCCTTTGTGTGAGTTACAAAAAGGCACTCCCTCCAGGCCTGCAGATGAATTAGAAAAAGTGTGTCCCTTCTTCTGGGCTGGCACAGCCCTGTGATAATGTGCATTGCTCGGTCAGTAGAGCATGGCTGCCTTTTAGCTTTTCCACCCAAGCTGCTTGCACAACCTGCAAAGGCACATGTACTCAGTTATGTCTGTCTCCTTCACAGTGTTGGCTGGCTGGCTGCTCAAGGGAAAACAGGTCAAATCCCAGAATGTGGGGCTGAGGTTGGGCCTCACCTTCTTCAGGTGGATTCTGGAGCCTAAAGTGAGGCAGAAAAATATAGCGCAAGCTTCATGGGGAAGAAGCTGCAGAAGATGGGACAGACCACTTAGTTCTGAAGGAAGACCTGAACGGGGAGCCAAGCCTTGAAAGGCAACAGAACTTAGCAGGGGGCAGGTAGAGGGAAGCCAAGGGGAGGTCCCAGTCCAGTGGACACCATGGAATTTTCCCTAGGGGTTCAAGTTTTCTGGACCCAACCTTTTGATCAAACTTTCCCGGTCCCACAGTGCCAGGGCAGCCTGTCTCTCATAGGAACCCAGACTGAAGTCCTCTCCCCGCTTTTCCAGAAGATGGTAGCTGTGCCCAGGACCCAGTGCCTGCAAAGATCTGGGCACCTTCCTGCTTCCATGTGGTGGGCCTGAGGCCAGCTGAGTAAGGCTGCTGCTGCCCCTGGCAGGCCCAGAGGAAAGACTGATGGCACGGACATCGCTGGGGCCAGCCAACAGAGTCATTGATTTTCATTTAGGAAAATAATTAAATATTAATTTTCACTTTGTTAAGCTGGAGAGGGTGAATAAAGCCAATCCTGGCAGAGGAAGCCAGGCCATGTTGGAAGCCTGCAGATGGAAGGGTGGGAAGGGACAGGTGTTCCTGGTCACCATCTCCTCCAGAACCTTAGACCCCTGTCTGCCACCAGTTTGGCTCAGGTAATAGTGCAACGGTTAAGTGCATGATTTCTGGAACCAGGCTACTTGGGCTCAAAGCCCAGATCTTTCTATTAGTAGCTACATGACCTTGGGCAAGCCCTTGTTTTCTATGACTCAGTTTCCTCACCTCTAAGACAAGAATTCCAATAACAATACCTCTTAATAGAGGACTAAATGAATTCAAACAGGTAAAATGCTAGGAGCACTGTCTGGTATCAACAAATATTAGTTATTATTATTTGTCTTTTCTCCTACCTACAGAAATTATCACATGAGTGTAGGACTTCAGATTCTTTATCTCAGGTGGCCTCAGCCTCACAGAGCCTCCAGGTAGCCCTTATCTCATGGCACCCTGTGCCTGGCTGAGAAGGAGTTTTGTTCTCCCAAGGTGCATCTTCTGTTTTCAGTGCCTTCCATTGGCTTTCAGGATAAAGTCCAAATTCCTCAGCCTGGCATCCAAAGTTTCCTCTTCAACTACTGCCCTCTGTGGATCTTCTCTTGGCCTGGCCCATGCTCATATGGGTCCTCCCCCATACTGCCAACCCCCATTTCACACCCTTCTTGCTCCTTATGTCTCTGCATCTTTCCCGTGCTGTCAAACCACATGGAGTGTTACAGCTCTTCTAACTGACTCTCAATTTTAGCAGCAGAAGTCACTGACTCCCATGGTTGGATGAGTAACTTCTACTACCACTCCTACTAATGCTGCTTTACTACTACTACTACTACTACCACCAGCTAACCTGTGTTGACTGCTTATTGTCTGCCAAGAACTGTGCTAAGCACTTAACATGCATTAGTTCATTTAATTATTACAACAACCTTATGAGTTCAATTTTACAGATGAGGAGGCTTATGCTTAGATTGGTAAAGACTTGCCCGAGGTCACAGTTAGTGAGTAGGGCCTGGATCCAGACCCAGGTCTGTCTGACTCCACAGCCTGCATACAGAGGATGAGAAGTTGGTATTACTTGACACTGAGGGTTCAAACATAAGGCTCAAGTTGCTTCAGTTACTAGGATTGGTTCTAGGATCTGACACAAGATGAACAGTTTGATCAATTCTAGGCAAAGCTTGTCCCATTTCTGGACAGCTCCAACTCAGAGAAATGGCTGCTTTATACTGATATCTGCTCTTTATACCCATTGATCCTGTTCCTGCCCTCTAGGGCCACCCAGAGAAAACCAAATCCCTATTCAGAATCTGAATATGCAAACAGTAATATTTATGAAGATCTTACTCTGTGCCAGGTACTTGCTAATCCTCAGCTAATCCTCATGATAGCTCATTGGGCTAAATGTTAGTATAACCCACTCCTTATAGATGAGGAAATTGAAGTTCAATAGTCTAAGCAATGTATCTGGAGATACAGAACTGGTAAATTGGCAAAGCTGGAATTCAAATCTAGGTCTGCGAGACTAGGAAAGTAATATTCTTAATTATTATGTTATGATGACTCCCTATTAAAGCCCCACTAAGCCTTATCTTCTCCAACGAAATATCCCAAATTTCTTCAGACTATCATCCCATAATATATTTTAAGTTGCCATCCCATCCTGCTTTCTTTCTGGTAGGCTAATGACCCTCTTTAACCTGAAGCCTAGAACTAGACATAGTCCCAGATTTGGCGTGCCTAGCACATTTGAATAGCGCTCTTGTTCCAGACACACCACTCTTGGCAAGAATACATAAGGTCCTGTAGTATGACTTGCTCTTGGTGAACCCACACTAGTTCCTAACACCACTTTCTTCCTGCCATATGGTCAGTAGGTCCCACTTTGCCTTTGGCCAGTGATTAGCCATTAGCCAAAATGACAGCAGATGCATTGATATATAATGGCCTAGCTGCCTATATAATCAGGTCTCTCTGAACTTTAGTCAAGTGTTTGGGGTGCGGAATGAAAGCAATCTTGGTGAGTCAAGGTACTTCAAAAAACATGACAGGAAGAGGACCAGAGGGAAGTGCTACAAAGGACGCTAGGACTGGAGACAGCCCAGCAGAGCCTCCACCCCATGTATTTGTATACACGTTAACACAAGTGACAAAGGACACCTGAAGCCATGATTTTAGCCAGGGTGGACAAATTCTAGCATAGCCTACAACAACCAATGCCTGTCCTAAAAGATGGAGTGGAACCCTTGGCCCAAGGGTCTCGAGCCCATTTCTTTGAGCCAGAAGACTGAAAATAACAAAGAACCTGCAGCTTTTCAGGGAACCAGTAAGCCCACTCTTAGAATGATGACTCTGCTTCTAGTTTCTGGCCCCAACCCAGTCCCTATATGCTTCTTTGGCATGCACACAGGGCATGTCCCCAGCCTGAGGTGATTCCCACCCCCCAACCCTGGTGGACTTACCCCTGGCAGGGTCTTCTGCTCATGCAGTGCACTCTGGGCCTTGAGAGCAGAGTCCCGGGCGCAGTAGGTGAGGAAGGCACAGCCTGGGGAGGAAGAGGCTGGCTCAGGGGGTTTCCTGAAACTCCCAAGTACTCTTCCTGGAAAGACCCCATTAAATTGACAAACACAAGGCCACTCTCCTTTAAACAAGGGCACTGCTTCTGAGAAGACTTCTCTACCTGCCACTTCCTATGAAGGGAGGCTTCGTCGTGTGCCCGTGTCCCAGGCCCTGGCTCCCTCTCGTCTGCTCCTGGCTTCTTGCCTAGGGAATGTCAGTACCCACGCCCAATCATATGCTGATGCAGTCCCACATCTCCCCTCCTTACTCCAGCCATAAATCCTGTTGGGGTTAAAACTCTCTAAGCAGCTTTGCTCTCAGCTTTAACCCCAGCCTCCCACTGCTTTTGGGGATTCATACTCACAGAGTCTCCCAGAATCAGCCTCCCTTCCTTCCAACTCGGTTTCAGATGGAAGGAAATGGAAGAGGAGGAGGGTGGGAGGCGAGCCCAGGATCCCACAACTCCTTTCTAACACATCCCTCCTCCAAGTTGGAAGCTGAGGAATGGATTAATTTGAGGCTTGGAAGATAAGACTCCTTTAAGGGCTTCCTGGAGGTGGCCGCTTCCAGGGACCTCCAATCCTACCCAAGGAGCTTGACCTATCAGCTCTCCCAGGGCTTCAAGACAGGACCTGTTAAAGGGTTTTTGTGCCCCAAATCTGACTTCTCTAAAAGAGTCAGTAGATAAAGGGCAGAGAAGGAGTCTGGGTTGAGCCAAAGGGTCAGTCCTACCCCTCTTTGTTCAGCCTCAGAACCTCAGTGGGCTGCTAGGAAACAGAGGCAGGATCCCTTCCTTTCCAACACTCACTGAGTACTCACTCATTCTGAAAATATTTATTGCATACTTACTTATTAGGGAGGGACTTTATAATATGCTTGATTATAAAGTGGCAACAAGATACATTCCCTGCCCTGTATATGGGGATTATGTAAAGGCTCACGAGGGGCATGTAATTGATTTCAAAGGGTTGAGGACTGTCTCAAAGAACACATCGGGTCCTCAGTAAAAAATAGGGGTTAACCAGGTGACAAGAAGGGTGGTGATTATGTCAGGCAGAAGGAATAACACATGAAACTGAATCAAGAACTTGGTGTGTTCAGGAAATGGATGGAAGACCAGTATGGGGCAGACCAATGGGGGCAGAGTGGCCAGTGAGGTATACAAAGATCAGGTCATCTACAATCTTGTATGCCTCAGTCTGGATTTTGAACTTTTTCCTAAGAGCACTGAAAAGCCACTAAAGCATTTTAATCCGGTTGTGATATTAGATCTGTGTTTTCAAAAAGAGCCTTCTGCGTGTAGGAAGAAAGACTGAAGGAAGGGAAAATGGGTGTGGGAATCCATTAGGAGTTTGGTGCAGTTTTCCACTTAGACTAGACTAGAATGGCAAATAGGAACATTTTCTCCTATGTTTTCTATGTGGCTTCCCCCTTAAGATGGGTGGATATCTGCCATTCCTTGAGTTAGAAGGACGTTAGAGAACTCCTGGGACAAACTCTCATCATGTCAGTAGGAAAACAGAAGCCCAGAGAGTATGTCAGTGACAGGATAGCGTTTGGAATTTCCTAACTCCTAGAATGAGACTGTTTGCAAAACACTGTGGCTGCCTCCTTTGGTACCCAGCCATCAAAAGGAAAATGAGTCACTGTGACTTTTGGATGTCACTGTTGCTAGGGAGAGGGTGAGGAAGATACTGACTTAAGAGATCCAATCTTAGAAGGCAACCCTTGCTTAAAGAGTGGCTGGTTGGTTTGGGGATAGTTCACCAAACACTTGATTCTGCTTATATCTCTGCTCCATCTTCTGCTATCAAGCCATATCAGCTGGTATCAGAATTGGGCAGGGCTAGAGCCCTGTCTGAAAGGCTCAAGGGCACAGTTGCTGCCTAAAGGAGCCCTGTGTTGACTATCTGGAATAGCGGGTGGAAGACGGAGGGAGGGAAAGTCAGAGAAGCATGGTTTGAGGGACAGATGAATGAAAAAACAGGAAGAATTAGAGCTAGAGAGAGAGAGAGCAAGAGCGAGGGAGAATGAAGGAATGGTTCAGAGACTCTGATGGGGTTTGCGTAAGAATTAAAGTTCCTATGGACTTCCCTTATTATACAGATGGCCCAGAAAGATTAGCTCGTACTTATGTACTAAAATGTCTAGGAAATAAGAAAATAAGTTGCTATGAGTGGATGGACAGCTAGGCAGCTGGATTGTATTAGAAGGAATCTGGATGGTATGGTCTTGTCCATTCATGCCTCCCTTAAAATAACCCCACCTCAGAAGGTGGAAAATGCACTGCTCCCTAGCTGGTCCCAAATCTTCTATGGGTGTTTTCCTGAAGCCCCTACATGAGTGTGCCTAGGAACTCCCCAAGGTCTCCTGGTTAAAAAGAGGTGGCTGTCTAATTCCAGCTCTCAACCACTGGGAAAGTACCTTTAGCTGGTACCCAGATCCTACCACTTCTCTCTTAGAAAGATCACGTAGGATAGTTGATGCCATTTCCCCCCAAATCCTGAAACTGCTGCCTGGTGAAGGTGGGGAGAAAAAAAGGTGCTTCTGCTCAAATACTCAAATCATTTCCTTCCCCTGCCCATGTATGACATGTAACTCTGGCTGTCTTACTCCAGCCCAGCCTGGACAGACTTTCCTGCATGTAAACAAGCCTCCTCCCTCTCTGTACAGGAAGTGAGGGGTGTGGCTGGACAGGACTGTGGTGCCTCTCTAGCAAGGGCGTAGAGAAGGCCCCTTTCTGCCTTTTCAATCTGACCCATTCTGAGGCTCTGGTCCACAGGCTGTGCTCCAGGACCAGCCTGTGAGGGAGGGAAGGCAGGAGGCTGTGAAGAGGATTTGGGAGGGGCAAAGATGAGGCACAGGAGGGGGGAGATTATAGGAAAAAAGAAATGTAGGTTCGGCTGAAAGGAAACCATAGATGAGGGGAGACAAGGTGGCAGGAGTTCCCAGCTGAGGTCTGAGTTAAGGGTTCAACAAATCAGAAGAGGCAGAGTACTGGAATTCTGGAGGCGGGTGGGAGAGATCAGGATTACTATTAAACTATTAAACACAAAGGTGGAATTTGGAGCCGAGAGCCTCCTGGGAGGGGAACTAGATTCTATGAGTTTGACAGGCCAAGGTTCTGAAGAAGGTGGGAGTCTGGGTGTGTGGGGTTTTAGGTTGGCAGTCTAAGAGTCGGAAGAAGCCTCTGGGGGCTGGCTGGACACGGAGGCCAGAATGAGGGGTGCAAGTCCAAGATGTGTCTGTGGGTTGTCAGGCCTGAGTGGCATGGCATCAAATGGGGGTGGGAGGATCAGGAATAACTGGGTCTGGGGTTTGGGAGATTGAGGGTACAGATACCTAGAAGATGAAATAAGTTTCCAAATTCCAGGATTTGAGATGTGTGTTTGATAGCAGGGATGGAGGAAGGTCCAACTGAAAGGCAGGGACTGTTGGATGTGACAGGTGAAGGGTAGGGAGTTGGAGCTTAGAGTGAATAACATGTCTAGGAACCAGTGATGAACAGATGGAGGCCAGACATCAGAGAGAAAATTCTGGGTTGGGGGCTCTTGAATCTGGGGAGGGGACTAGGCTGAAGAGGGGCTGGTGTTGAACTGGTGTTGGACCGGCTCTAGTTAGGGCTGGAGTTGGGGCTGCGGTTGAGGCTGGGGTTTGGGCCAGGCCGCACTCTAATCGGATTGGGGATGGACTGGGCTGGGCAGGGCAGGGCTGGGCTGGGCTGGGCTGACCCCGCGCACCTTTGTGGAGGCCGGTGAGCCGGTCCTTCAGCACCGTCAGCTCGTAGATGCGGCCGAACTCCTCGAACAGCGGCTTGAGGTCTTGCTCGTCCAAGCCCCGCGGGATCTGCCCCACGAAGAGCTTGATGGCGTCGTGGTCCTTCATGGGCACGGCAGGACCGGGGTTTAGCCCGCTCATGCCGACGCCGCTATCCGCGGTGCTGAAACCCAGGCGCGGGCTGGGGCCGGCGGACGGCGCAGACCCTCCGGGCGCCGCGGCCATATCCACCCCCGGTCCGCCCTCCCCGCCGGTCCCGCCGTCCCCTCCCTGGACCGGTGGCGAGGGCCAGGGGGAGGGGGCGGGGCCCGGACGGCGAGGGCGGGGGGCTGCACAGGAAGGCGTAGAGAGGGTGGGACGGGCTGGAAAGGGGCGGGGCAGGAGGCGGGGCAGGACCGGGCCGAGGCGGCGGGACGCTGGGATCTGGCTTGAGGTCCCCGCGCGGCGCCCCCTGGGCTCCCGCCCGAGCTCTCCCGGAGCCGAGCCCAGAGCCCCAGCCCCCGTGCTTGGTGACGTCAGGCAGCTGGCCGCCGAGTCTACGCAAATGATTTGCATAATGAGGAAGCAGCGACCAATCAGAGCTAGAGTTGAACGGGCTCGGCCGGGGACGGGAGGGGCAACTGGGCTCACGCGCTCCAACTCCCCATGGCAACCGGACCCTCGGGTGCCCTGGGTATGTAGAGTGTATGAGGGCGTGGCGGTGGACCGCGCGTGTGCGCCTTGGACCGCGTGAGGGGAAGTAGCTTCGTCATGCGTGCTGGTGTCTGCGGGAGTCAGAGCTACCCCCTCGCTCACACACAGCACACACGCGGGCACGCGCCCCTCCCATCGCTGGAGCGTTTCCTGCGGGGGTGGGTGGGCATTCCTCTTCTCCAGTCCCACTACCAAAGCCAGCTCCTCGGAGCCGAGCCCACCGCGCCGCATCACACACCTCTCTTAGGTGTCTTCAACCACTTTCTTACAAACCAGCCCAAACACGTTCGTCTTTCCTGATCCCAACAATAAAAATTTTTTTTTTATTTTAAAAGAAAGAAAAAACAAAACAAAAACTCCAAAACACTACTTGAACACGGACTCCTCCTCAGGAGAGTGAGGGAACTTAAATTAGCCACATTTGCTCAGGTGCCTGGCTCGTTGCAATTCCCTGAGCTTGGGAGTGTGACCCTCCTTTTCCGGAAAAGGAAGCTGAGGGTCTGAGAGTCAAGCAGGTTGGGACCAGGCCTGCCTCTAACGTCTGCTGGGCCCAGGGCAAGAAACGGAAATAGACATACCGCTTGTGTAAATATTTAAAATATTTAAATTAAAGTTACAATTTGTTAAGTAAAATGTTCATCTCCTATTTCTTAAATGCACGTTTATAATAAAAATGAAAATATGTGTAAAGCTGTTTTAATATGACGGAAGCTTGATAAGATATCAGAGCTGGTGGGATTTTATTGCTCTTGCTCATGTCTGAATAAATATAAATATTTTATAAATTACGTATTCCATAAAACGTTTTTCTTGCCTTCTTTCAATGAAGTTGGTAACCTGTAACCATTGACTCATTCAAGAAACTGCTCAAAAGCAGCAGTAACAGTGGGAATCATCAAAATATTTTAACATCAATATTCAAATTCAGAAATTGTGGTTTAAAAAAATTAATTTAAAACTTGTATTAGAAGTTATTCCTTTAATTATCTGATTATAAAACAGGTTACTAGAACAGTTCACTTTCATTCAGTTCAACATATTTTAAAATTTCCTTGAAACTTCCTCTTTGACCCAGGGATTATGTATAAGTATACTGTTTCTTTTCTAAGTGTTTGGATATTTTCCTGTTATCTTTCTGTTACTGATTTCTAGTTGTAAGCTACTGTAGTCAGAGAGAAAACTCTGTATGATTTTAATTATTTTCTATTTGTTAAGGTTTTGTGACCCTCAGACTATGATCTATCTTGGTAAATGCTTTGTTAGTATTTGAAAATAATTATAGTCTGCTGTTCTTGGGAGAAGTATTCTATAAATGCTGATTAGATCCTGGTGGCTGATGGTATTGTTAAGGTCTTCTATATCCTTGCTGGTTTTGTTTCAATAACTATTGAGAGAAAGCTGTTGAAGTCTCCAACTGAAACTGTATTTATTTCTCCTTTCAGTCCTATTAGTGTTTGTTTCACATATTTTGCAGCTGTTGGTAGTGCATACACATGGCAAATTGACTCTTTTATCATTATGTAATGTTATTTTCTGTTCTTAATAATTTTCTTGCTCTGAGATCTACTTTATTTAGTATTAATACAGCCATTCCCTATTAATTTTGGTTAATGTTTGCATAGTGTCTCTTTTTCCATTCTTTTACTTTCAACCTACCTATACTGTTCTATTTGAAGTGAGTTTCTTGTTAACAACATGGAGTTGGGTCATTTTTTAAATCCAGACCACCAGCCTTTGTCTTTAATTGCAGTAGTTAGACCATTTATATTTAATGTAATTATCAACATGTCAGGGCTTAAATTTTCCACTTAATTTTTTTTTGTTTCCTTTGTTCATTTCTCTATTTTCTTATTTTTGCTGCCTTATGGATTACTTGTTCCTTATTCTAGGTACATTATATATACATGTCCCCATTTACTCTTGGCATTTTATCAGTTCAAATGAAGTGTTGGAACTTACTTTACATACCTTTAAGTCCCTTTATTGTTCCTCATTTATAATTATCTTAACTATGTCTTCTACATTCTTTGAAAACCACATCAATGTTATTCAAGAACTTTGGAAAAACTCAAGAGCAGCAGTCTGTTATATTTACCCATCTTTTTCTTCTTTCCATTGTTCTTTCCTCCTAGATAATCCAAGATTCCTTCTTATATCATTTCCTTTACACTTTAAGAACTTCTTTAGCAATTCTGTTAAGGTAGTTATGCTGGCAGCAAATTCTCCAAGTTTTCCTTCATCTGAAAATGTCCTGATTTTTCCTTCATTCCTGAAGGATATTTTTGCTGTATCAAAAATTCTGGTTTGACAGTTCTTTTCTTTCAACATTTAAAAAATGTTGTGCCACTTCTTTATGGCCTTCATAGTCTTGGGTGAGAAATCTGTTGTCCTTTGAATTGTTTTTCTCTTAAAGGTATCATCTCTTTCTTGCTGCTTCATTACTATTCTTTATCTTTAGTTTTCTGAAGTTTGGCTATGATGTGTCCTAACATGGATTTTTCTGACTTTATCCTGTTTGGGATTTGCTCTGCTTCTTTAATCCATAAATGTATGTCTTTTGTTAAATTTGGATAGTTTTCAACTATTCTTTCTTCAAGTACTTTTTCAGCCCCTTCCTCTTTCTCCCTTTTTTCCATGACTATGACAGGAATGTTAGATCTTTCGTTATAATAGGTGTCTAAGGCTCTGTTAAATTTTTTTTAAATTCTATTTTTGTTTCTGTTGTTCAGATTGGATAAATTCTATTCTTTTATTCCTATTGAGAAAATTTTATTGAGCATTATTCCTGCATCACACTTACTGAAAGAAAAACTTAATTTTTCCTGAGGGCATTCTATTATTTCACATGATCTATAACCTAATGTTTTTTGTATTACAAGTACACATTAAATATGAAATTAGTAAAATGCAGCATATAAAGCTTCATACTTAGCAAAAGCAAGTCCAAAAAAGTTACCATATAGTAATAGAACAGTACCCACAGTATTTAAGATGTTTCCTATGTAAATCGTATTTGAATGCAATTTTTAGAACTGTAGTTAAATATATTTTGCAATTTAACTGCAGGCGTACACATTTTTCTTCCATCATATAATCTGTTCCTTTGATTGAGTTGACAACTTCTGCTAGGAACCATAGAATGCAGCACAAAAAACAGTGGTTATTTTTCAAGATTTGAGTCCACTTTTACTGTAGTTTCCTGAGATTTCTGCTCCACTGAAGTCAAACCAGGGTTTTCTTTCTGAAATCTCTCTAATGTAAGTTTTCTCTGCATTTGGTCTTGCATGCAAGGATCAGCTGCATATTCAGATTCTAGAAGAGAAGTCCACCAATTTGCTGCATCTCTCTTTGTCTTTGTAAGAACAATGCGGACCATTTTTCTGTCCTCCAAAGTCCATGTTCCCTCTTCAGCTATTCTAGAATCAAAAAGTTTTCCCTTGATCTCGCGGCCACCTGCTGCCAGCACCACATGCCAGCTCTGCAAGCCATATTGGATATCCTGGGTGCAAGTGCCTGGTGGCACTTGAACTTCAATAAACACCTCTTCCAAGGTCTGGCGCCACTGGCCCCATGGAGTCCAGCACGGAACCACTCCACTGCGCTCCTCAGATGGAGCTGACATACTTCAGCCGCCTCCTGGCTGCAGCCTCTATTTGATCTTTAAGTTCACTGATTTTTTCCTCCATTATCTACATTCGATGTTAAGCTCATCTCATGAGTTCTTCATTGTGGTGGTTGTGTTTTTCAGTTCTAAATTTTTCATTTGGTTCTTATTTATATTTTCTATTTCTTTGCTGAGACTGTTTTTTTTTTCATTTGTTTCAAGTATGTTTGTAATTGCTTATTGAAACATTTTATAATGACTTCTTTAAAATCTTTGACAAATAATTCCAACATCTGTGTCATCTCAATATTGGTGCCTATTATGTGGCTCTGGATATTTTATTATGCCACTGAATATTTAAAATTTCCATTTTGGCAGGTTTCCTTTGACCCTATATTAGGTGAGAGAACAGAGACACTGCCTTGTTACTGTCATGTGGGGGTTGAAGTTCAGGTTTCCTGCCAGAACTCTGTTGAAACTACCCTAAATTGTAGGGAAGGGGATCTTGTTACTACTGGTTGGAGGTGGAAACTTCCAACTAGGCACCTTTGACACCATTTCAGCATGGAATGTGGCCCACGTGGCCTCCACTGAACCCACAGAAGAGAAGCTTGTTAATACTGGGTAGGGATGAAAGTCTTAGCTCTCTATTTGACCTTCTCTGACACCACGTTGGTGGTTCTCAAGGTGGTGTTACACCCACAGCCTAGGTGAACTGAATCAGAATTTCTGGGGTGAGACCAAGGCATATGTATGTCTTAAAACTCTCCTGTTGATTCCAATGTGCTTGCAAACAAGATTAAGAACTATTGCTTTAGAAGTTCTTTTCATAAGGAGTCTGTTGGTGGTGAACTCTGCTATGCTTATCTGGAAATTCTTTATATTGGCCCATGTCTTGAATGGGAGTTTAGTGAATCTACAATTATTTTTCTCAACATTTTGAGGTATCATTTCATCATCCTTTGGTTTACATTTTTGCTTATGAGAAGTCAACTGTCAGTCAACTTGCCATTTCTCTGAAGGTAATTGGCTTTCTCTGTGGCCACTCAAGATCTTTTCATTTCTTTCGGTAATCTTCATTTTCAAAATGATGTGTAATTTTGAGTGTATTTTAATTTTTGAGTTGTTTAAGTGTACAATTCTTTTTCTTTAAATTGCTTGAAATTTCTAGTGCTTCCTAAATCTGCATACTTATAT